GGGGGGAGGCAGAAAGAAAGAGAGGGAGAGAAAGATTGAGAGAAAGAGCGAGAGAGAGAGAGGGAGAGATTGAAGTTGAGAGAGAAAAAGAGATAGAACTTTATTTTTTGTGTTAGTTTTTTAAGATTTGGCGTTTAAACTCCGTATAAAAGACAAACGTTTCAATTTAATTATAGTGCATGAGATTTGGAAAAATGGGGAAAAGTTCGAAAGGAAGCAAGTTTTCAATATTTTTTAGGCATTATTGTTATTTGCGCCGATATTTATGTCACAATTTAGATGCACTTTTGCGAGTCGACACGTTAAGCGAATACGAAAGTTAGAAAAATCACTACGCGAGAATTTTCTTTGTGAATCTTGTTAATCTCTTATGAAGTTACGCTTTTTATGTGACATACTTTGGATTACGAATCTTCGTATAGTTGGAAAAGGTACTCCTTGGATATTATCGATAAAATTGACAAATGGAATGTAAGCTTCAATATATATATATGGCTATATTACGTATATATTTTTGTAAATCTCCGATTTACTATAAAAATTTGCTAGAGATATAGGTTTGAATGTAGAAAAAAAATGTTTATAATTCGCGTCACGTTATTTGTATCATTAAAGTCGTAAGATTCAACGACATTGTGACGTCGACGCTCTCTCTTATCACAGATTCTTACTATGATTGACCAAGTATAACATTTTGTTTTGCAAATTCGAAACAATTTTCACTCGCACTCGCGTTTCCGCTCTCCGCTATATCCAATATTTCTGCGCGATTCGCAACGCGCGCGATCTTTTCGAGGTAAGACCGAGGATAATGCGCGGAGTTTGATACGCGTGCTGAGATTATATCGAAACGCCATCGAAATACAACATGCAGTCCGTCGTTAAGTGAGTTATGACGTAAGATTTAACTTAGAGTTTGACAAATGAGATAACAAGTATCGTTAATTTACAGATGAGCTATGTAGATGTCACCAATAATCCGATTGTTCACGATAAATCCTAGGTAACGTATAACTTTCTCGTAATCGGGAGGACCGATCGAGCTTTAGGAAAACGAGGGAATTGTATAAAAAGGGTGGTATCTTATCATATCTATAACATGCTTATATTAGAGACGTACAGTAAAAAAAAAAAAAGAAAGAAGCTTTTTTACTCGTGATGAAAAACAAAGACAGTAAAGTAGAGCTCTAATCGAGGACAGAGAGATGTCTATGTAAAGTACTGTGAAAAAAAAAAGATATATTACTGTAAGCTGATTTCTAAGTACATATTTTGCAAAGTACACGAACTTATCAGGATCGTGGGACGTATACAGCATAATTCTGTAATAGTTAATTGATAAAATATACAAGACTATACTAGATAAAACTTTTCAGTTTGTAACGCGTCGTTTACAAGACGGCTGTATAAGATTCTTCGGGAAATTGACTCGACACACACGTGTCTCTTCGTGAGCTGTTTCCTGCGTTTGCGACAAGTTTAAAAACGATCGACACCAATCTGATTTAAGTTACACTTAATAGAGCTGAGAGAAATCGTAGAATTTGTATCACACGAAAACTTGCGAAGACTGCGCTCGCTGCGTAAGCGTGGCGATTTGGGAAATTGAGAAATTCGCAATTGTTACACAATTAACTATGCTCACTGCGAATAAGTAGAGTAGCGACAAAGTGGCAGACAAAATCTCGTCCTCCGCGTCGAGAAGAATTGCATGCTGTAAAATTTATGAGAGTAACGAAAGTAACGTAAATTCGCGTATTGCGAAATGATGTCTGCAAGTAATAACGCGATATACAATTCGTATGCTACCCATTAGAATCGAGTCGATCTGAGTTATGAGAAACAGCGCGAAGAGCGCACACGTCGATTTCTATTCTTACCATGCCCATTTGTACATAGGCATGCTCAATTCTAGGATCGGACACGCGCATCACATGAATCACATGAATATGTATATGTGCATACATATATACACACATATATATATATATATATATATATATATATGTATATGTATCTACATATTACATATATATAAAATATTAAAATACGAAACTACGGAACACAAATTATTATCCGACTTTGTACCTATATATTATTAATTAACTCAATGAAAGAGATCGGGGTGAAACCCCGAGCACTATTATCGATTCGAAAATAGCAGAAGCTAATGAAATTAAAGATGGGGGCGTGTAATTGAGAAAAAAAAGAAATCTAACGAAAGATAACAAAGAAGCAACGCGGATGAAAATGCCTGAGAGCCAAGGGGTACCACTTTTGTCAAATTTAGAGAGCCAATTTAGATTTACAACTATGATAGAGGTGTGCGTGCGCGTGTGCGTACCTGAGTGCATGCGTGTGTAAATGCAACGGATGTATGAGATGAGTTGGGAAAATAAAACGAAAGAGAGAGAGAGAGAGAGAGAGAAGAAATGGTGGAAAAGAGACCGTGCAAGATATATCGAGCTATAAGATGAATTATCGATTATTCTTGTAGGAAGAAGTCCAACGTAGCTTAGGCGATCTTGTAATCTTGTATCGTAAGCTCACGAGCGACTCATATATATTTGAACGTGCACCGAAAACCGAAAGTGATTAGACAGCATATCACCGTTTCGTCGATCGATCATTTTCGCAAGCGATTTCGACGATACTACGAAGCGCCGCACCGACGCGCGCGTTATAAATGTTGGATGTTCCAATTAGACTCTCTACTGTACTTCTTTTCTAAACGCACGACTTTCAGTCAAAGTAGTAAACTCTTTCGAGCATCTTATCTGATATTTTCTAGAGCGAGTCACGAGTCGGTCGTAAGAACGCGAGCAGTTTACGATTTTAATATTAAACGAAAAGTGGAAAGGAAAGAAAATATCGCGTTGTCCGAAGTCGCGCTCGTCGCTTGAGGCGGGCGAGATCTATTACACTTATAATTTATCAATAGTAAATACGTCCGAAAATTTATTTCTCTAAAGAATAAGAGAGCGGGCGAAAGAAGAAAATGTCGAACGAAAGAGAGAAAGTAAGGGAATAAGAATGAGAGAGAAAATGACAGTCTGAGAGAGAGAGAGAGAGAGAGAGAGAGAGAGAGAGTGTGTGTGTGTGTGTGTGTGTGTGTGTGTGAGAGAGAGAGAGAGAAATAGAGAGAAAAAGGAAGAGAATGTATAAGGTATATAAGGGAACGGAAGAGATCGGGTGTTAGAGAAAGCGTGTAATTTTTCGTTAAACAAAAACAGAGAAAAGAAAAACACGTAAATTACGAAAGAACGAAAGAATTTAAGCAGTACGTTTAGACGACGTTTCGCGAAACCTCGGCCGAGAACTCCGTGAACTCCGAACTTTGTTCCTCTCCCTTTTCGCTTTCGAAGAAGTGTTGTAGAAGCAAGAAATACGAAATAATACTGTACGTACGCCGTCGTACGGACCATTCCGTTTTCGTTTCTTTAACTTAATAATGTAATTGTATCTCCCACCCGAGGGACGCAAAGTTGCAAAGAGCTAATCACCACTCTCTCACGGAGTTCGCGGCAGGAGATCACGAGACGATTAAGTATAAAGCGTTAGTGACTGTGTGTATCCAGTATCATATATCTGATAAAAGATACCCCCGATGCCAGAGATGGCGTGTGACAATAAAGTGATTCAATGATCCTGCCGCGTTTTAATCGCCCCTCACACTTCAGCTTCTTGCGTCTTTCCTCTTCGTAAGGAAAAAAAATCGGCAAATTTGCATGAAGAATTATATATTTTCTTCTCAGGGAACGAGAGAGAGAAAGAGAAAGAAGAAGAGATCTATATAGGAGATATTATACGGAGACGTATGTACACATGCCATCGGGTCGTATCGATCATCATCGTTTATCAGGTTTATCTAATGATTGATATGAAATACAAGTAGTAGACATACAACATATTCAGTGTTTTGTATCACGGAGAGAATTTTAGTTTAAAATTTACTCTGAAAATTATGTTAGTCGTATGATAACATAATATTTCGACAAATTTTATATGATTTTCACTATTTTTTTTAAATATGTACATACTACAACAAATTTATTGTAGTGCACAGTAAAAAAAAAACAGAAAATCACATAGGATTTGCCGAAATATGATCATTAACATGATTTTTTGGGTAAATTTTAAAATGAAATTCTCTCCGTGTAACGTGTATTTTTGTATAGGTATTATAGACTTTGAGTATCTCGCGGGGAAACAACGAAATAATTCATCGTTTACGTTTCGGCGCGTGCCGCTACACGGAAAGAACGATTTTGTTGAAAGGTCTAAAAATTTTGCTAACAACAGATCTGAAAATAATTTTTTATTGAATTATCAAAATAATTTATT